TATAAGCTTGTTACTTTGACAATATATTACAGTCATATAACATACATGTAACGTTTCGTTATATAACTTGTTACATATTGTTACCTTTGTGTTATATTGCTGTTATATTCAGTGTTTACTGAATAAATATAAAGATGTAAAGTTAGTTACACAGTGGGAAGGTCGGTATCGTGCAAAAAATCTCATTGCCTCTCCAAAATTCTACCATAGTATAATTTTGAACAATGACATGGTAATAATAAAAATGGAGCGAAAAAATATATATTTTAATAAGTCGATATATGTAAGATTTGTAATTTTAGATCTTTCAAAAATGTTTATTTATGATTTCCTTCACAATTTTATTAAATGACAATTCACAGACAATCCGGTAAAATTCTTATACACAGATATAGATATTTTTATTTATCAATTTCTCAATATTGATATTTATGATTGCATCATAAGATAATATACATAAATTTGACACCTCAGACCATCCACCAAATAACTGTTTTAATATTCCATTAGTTAATAGAAAAATTGTAGGTCTTACAGAAGATAAAAATAAAGGTGAAATAATAACGGAATTCATTGGTCTAAAAGCCAAAATGTACACATTTGTTTGTATTTTTAAATTCATCTCTTACAAATAATATGACAAAATCATGGTCATCCTTAATAGTCTTATTTTATTTTTTTAATTTCTTTCAACATTCGTTTAATAATTATATCAAGATGTTTAATTTTTTCTTTCTCCTTATTAATTTTTTGTTGTTCTTTATGAGTTGAAGGTATTTATTTAATGTTAGCAGCTTTATCTTTTGTATAACGTGGTAATTTGTGAGCATCACTATACATTTTGTCAGCCATTGCTTCTAGCTCTTCAGCTAAAGCCATTTTGGCAGTCATTGTTTCAAACTCATTAGTTAGAGACATTATAAATCTTTTATGTTAATCCAGCTATTGTGCGTTTTATCAAATCCTAGCCACTTGACAAAAGCTCGATTACCACACTTTTTCAGAACTTTTTCCACCAAATAAATATTAAGATTTTGAACCTTAGTCAATTCTTTTTGATAAAAACCTCCTTTAATCGGTTGATCTTAATAGTCGACAAGCTTTTGGGTTACTGGATTAGTGTTCAATACTTGGCTTACATTAAAGATTTCAGTTGTGCAATTACGAGTGTATCCCTTCTCAAATACATGTTTGTATTTACTTATGCGCACTTTGTTACCAATCTTAAATTTCGTCTTTTCCATTATTTGTTGAACTTCAAGTTTATTATTGTAGATAGTATAACGTAATTGTTTCTTATTGGCTGAAGTAACATCAATCGGATTAATTTTGATGGTTCTATGTTTACCATTGTTATATGATGTCATCAATTTTGGTAAGATGTCTATCCACTGGTAATTACCTCGCAACGTAAATTGTTTCCACATTTGACTTTTAACGTGCGATTAAATCGTTCACATATAGATGCCTTAAGATTACTAAATGTGGAATACATTTTAATATTATATTGTTTCATATGTGCTTCAAATTCTTTATTGTAAAATTCTTTTCCTCTATCAACATGCGAAAATTTTGGCACTCTTTTTTGTGATCGAATAGATTTCATTGCATGAGCGACGTCTTTACCATTTTTAGATTTTGTGGGCACAGCCGAAGCGTATTTTGAGAAAACATCAATAACAGTCAATAAATACTGATAACCTTTATTATAAGTTTTATATGCTTTCATGTCAACTAGATCAGCTTGCCAAGTTTCATCAAGACCAGGTATATCAACATGTCGTCGTTGATAATTCCTCCTGACCGGTCTATGTAGCTCTTTAGTTATTATTTTTTTCTCCTTGTTCATGATGCTGCTGAACAAGATATTTTTAAATATTTTCTTCCAATTGTTTAATAGTTTCAGCTTGTTTACGATTTGCCTTTTTCAGTAAACATAATCGATCTGACTCATGTAGTTCAATTGTTTCATTCAATTCTTCATTCAGACGTTTACGACGTTCTTGTAATAATTCAATATGCTGCTCTACTTGAACATCAATAATTTTGATTCTTTCTCTATTTTCTTCAATGATTTTCCTCGAATTTGCTACAGTTTCGCGTAACAGACGTCATTCTATTTCAATAAAAAATTCTAAATTTGTAATCTTTTTTTCAATTAGTCCTAATGATGTTGTATTCATTCAAATCTACTGGTTCAGCGAGACTACACAATCTCTTATGATCTATGTCAAACTGTTGATCCGCAGTTAATTTGAATCCTTCACCAGGAGGCCTACGAACAGCATTTTTCACAATATCTTTCGCTAACTGTCATTCAAAAACGTCAACACTCATTTTTAAACCTCTCACTTTTAAAGTTTTTCAAAGAATGAGTAGCTGTGTAGAATACATCAGATTAATAAGTAATTTCAGCATCCTGTAATTTCTCTAAAATTGATAAAATTTCGTTATTATGACTGAAATTTCCAGCAGTTTCAGATGCAATAAATAAATGAAGTCGATTCTACAAGTTCATTGGGATCAGCCCAATAAATATAATCGATAGGATGATTTTGTTTACGTTTAATCATATACCGTGGTAAACTTTTCCCACTTTTTGGTATATATTTACTGATTATGTCGGTGAATTTTTTTAAATTCTTATTTACTCGGATACTTTTGTCGGGATGATAATGCTTCCGATAGGCATTTGTCAAAAATGAATCAGCAATTATTAATCTCGACGATAAAGTTGGACATGGAACACATTAGGTGGCATATAAAAAACATGTTAATAAAGTTCTATATTATGACAGTTTTGGCAATTCACAGCCACCACATGAGCTTATAAAATATCTTAATGTTGATAAAATATTGTACAATCATGAAAAACACCAAGATTACAGTACAGATAATTGCGGACACTTGTGTTTAAAATCTTATGTAGAAAAGTATAAGAGTATTATGCACTTTCCAATAAGCACCAGTCATGGATGATTCACTCACGTTAACATTGTCTGGACAAACGTCCATTCTAGAAGCGTTTTATTTTCCACTGAGGTAGTCAGTGTCGTCAATATGACCAAAAATCGAGCTCACATTCAAACAGCACAGAAATATATGAAACCGTTAATAAGTCTTATAATACTTTCGAGAATGATGCAAATAGCTATGGTATCTCTAGTGCTAATAATAAAATTAATTGTCCTGAAATAGTTGCGGTAAAGAATAATCATGTAACATATTCGATTTTTTAAATATTTCGTTGCTGATTTTCTGCAAATTAAAAATAACAACGGTATAATTTGAAACGGCAAATTAATTAATGTTCAATTACGTGTTTTTATTAATGATGCACCAGTACGGGCATTCGTATTAAATCATTGTGGCCATACATCTGCTAATCCATGTTCTATATGTGAGATCTCTGGTATTCACGATTCAAATCGTATGACATTTTTAAGTGAAACATTTCATTTGCTAACGGATGACGATTATAGTCATCTATTTCTTTCTGCTGAGCTTCGTTCTTACGTTTATGTTTTTAATAGTATTCATCTTTCTATATTACTATTTTTCGAATGAATCTATAGATTATGGAGGTGAGGTTTCGATATTAGAATTTGTAGGACGAAATGAATACAAAAAATTATAAATTGAGTCATCTTCAGCTGTGTTTTAACTTACAAATTACAATGGAAATAAAAAAGATTGTGATTATAATTTAACTACTGAGTTTAACAAATTCAAAACTTGTCCTTATCTATAAAATTTAAATAATCAGTGAAAACATGTATCTTTTTCACATTACATTTAAATGTTAATCCGTCCCTTTTAAAGCAATCAATGATTAAAATTGAAATGAATGATAACACTTTACCTTCATTAACCATTATGAGATTGCAAACATAATAATAATATTTTTTCTTCAATACTTGATATTCTTTCAAAAATGAATCAGTCTTTTCTGTTTCCATTGTGTCATAATTAAAGATGTGATATTTTGTGATACGTTTTGAAATACTTTATATTTGTTATTAGATTTTTCTTCTTTTTACACTATTTTTGTGCAATTTACTGCTCATGTTTTAGAATTACTGTTTTAGATGCAACAATCCCTGTGATTGAACGATAATCATTGTACCAAAAAATAATTCAGCCATAAATTTTAAATATGTTCGTACAATACTTGTAAATTTATGCATTGTTAAAAATATGTCAATTTCACTTCTTTAATATTCTCATAATGCATGATATAATCTCGAAAAAAATTAGTATTTAATTTAAAAAATTAATTCTCAAAAACTGAAAATATTTGCTTTTTTTTATATAGAAAAAAAACATAAATGACTGCGGAGTATGCTTTACTGTGCAGCCGAGGAAGTATTTTAATTTTTAAATTTATATATTACCGCCATTTTAAGAATATTACGAAAACATTTATTTGTATACACGAGTGCCATCTAAGCAGAGTTGGTTTTTTTAGTTCCCGTAGCAGCCATGACGCAGCGCTTTAGTGTTGCAAAAAAAAAGAAATTGAGCATCTCTGGCTTGATTTAATGATGGAGGGGCGATCGTAAGCAACTGTTGTACTTCTGCTATAAGAATCTTACACAGCAACAACGTATGATGCTTTCGTTTGACTTACATATGTCTCCTTACGTGGAATTCTGCAACACGTCTGCTCCATTTTTTACGAACGTCTGTTCGTAAAAAATGAAGCAGACGTGTATTAATCATATTTTAGAGTCTGCGCCGAATCTTTTATCGGACTTATGAATGTCTGACGTAGATTTGGCTACAAAAGTTCGCTCTTTTTACGTAATTACCAAAATACATGAATTTACACAGTACTAAAATATGAATTAATAAAATGATATTGAAAATATGCTATATGATGTTGTTAAGCATCAGAGAGCCGAGAAACTGTTGACATATTAATTTAATTCATATTCGAGACTTTTTTATATATTTATCACTTTTTCTTCTATTGAACTCATCATTAAATAAAAGAATACCATAAACAACGATGATATCTGAAATAAACAGTAAAAAAAACAAATTTAATAAAAAAAATTAGTCAAGGATCATAAATTGAGAAGCATTTTTTTGATGTTCTTCTCGAATGTAATACTTCTACAATATATAATCTAAATTATTATTGATGTCAGATAATGACACGATAAATGTAGTTTGAAATGTATTTTACTATAAGTTTATTGGAACGACCAGACGATCTTTATGTGCATTGAACGAAAAACAAATTCTTCAGGGTATTTTAATTGTTTGTCATAAAAAATTCAAAATACCTCTCGATGTGTTCCCTCGTTATTTCCTCGAAAAAACAGTACAGTTTCATTACTCATTGCAAATGAGATTTCAATTGATACTTTTGCGAAAATATTAGACACAAGACTGATTTTGGTGAAGGGTCATAGTTTCGTCGTAAAAAAATATTCAATAAAATTTTCCGCTTGATAATATTCACAGATTACAATGATCTAACCGAAAAATGTTATTTTATTTTACTTATGGTTAGGCTAAAGGCAGAAAGTTTAGGACGGCGTACTTATATTATATATTATTTTATATTATTATACATTCGGGGGAAACGTAACTTTCGTCTCCAATAGTATATATATACGGAAGCCAGGTTGGCTAATCGTCAACTTGTAAGAAAGTGGCGCCACACAAGTTTATTTCCAACATGTGTATTACATACTTGAGCACAATTGTACCAGTCACAAGTAAAAAATCCACTAGTTCAATTTGGACTTGTACACTTGTGAATTTAGAATAGGGACAAAATGGCATCACATCATAATAACGTTATATCAAAACAGAATGCCGGCGTTGAAAACTTAACCAACAAAAATGAAATTTTTTGTCAGTGATATTTCTAATTAAAAAATGAACAATGAATTCAATAAAAGGGTATGATAAAAACAATTCTTTGAAGTTGAATATTAAAGAAAAAAATTTCAATAAAAACTATTACAACCTACTTTTCTGGAGCTAACAGTTTAACGTACGATCAAAATTCAGAAAGATGTGGTGTTGAAGTTGAAGATGATGATTTTTTATTGGTAGAAGGTGTCACTGAATATAAAATTTATTATGCTAATCATTTGAAAGGTGAGGTCATCACATTTTTTTTTAAATTTTTGATTAGATGTTTGTAAGCAGAAACTTGCTACAACCTAGGAAATAATATCCATATGTAGTTCAGTCTTTATAAAGGTATTTATGTCGTATCTAAGCTTTAATTTCAAATAAATCGCTGATACGGAAATGAATAAGTTACCAAATTAGTGATTAAACAGAAAGTTTGTTACAGAAAGTAATCAGAACAATTCCAAAAAACGAAGAATTCAACATATCATAAACGTGATCGAGGGCAAAGGGGATGAAAATACAGAAGATCATCTGATTGCACTGAAAAATCGGGTATGTAAAATAAGAAAATTTAACAATGTCATACACTTATTAATCTTTTTACGCATACAACTTTTTTTTATATAGATAATATTAATTATAATTCCAATATAAATTGATAAGAAACAGCAATAATTCAGATAAATCGGTTGTACTACAATTAAAATATATTTTTATAAAACTTGTCCATACATTACTTAATTGTGATTTCAGATAATGACCCAAAAACTCCAAAGAAAGTTATTATACGTCGCATGGAAACATTAAGGAGGTTCTGCTAATGTTAAAAAAAAATAGATAGAAGCTTGAATTTGAAATATATAACAGTTCAAAGCAATACAAAGCCAATCCGAAAAAAAATTAGGTTCAACGTTGAAATTTGAGAAAAAAAATTAATTTTTGAAAAAAAGTTTATCCCTTCGAACACATTGGAAGAAAAATTAAATGCACAAATCAAAGTATTTCGTAATTATGTATTCACTTGAAAACAATTGTAACATCAAGAGAAAACGTTTTAGTTTCAATTAAAACTTTTACACAGGGTAGTCAACGATAGTTCACACGAGATATTTATAATTATACATAATAAAATCTTCAAAGTTTATGAAACATTGATATTTGATGAAAAGTGACGTTACAGTCGGTAACGAAGATCAAACATGTGGCAACGTTGCTTCACATTTGCGGGTATGTATAAAAACGGATGAAGAATGTGTTTGTACTATAAAACGATACAATAAAATAAGTAATATATACAAGTAAAAAATTCGTAATTACATAAAAAAAATTATGAAAATATATAACACATTAATTTAGATTAGTTTTCAATCATTAATATTTATTAAAATAATAAAATATATTTCATGTTTTTAACAAATACAATAATCTTTAAAAAAAACTACAAATTTACTCTTCCTTATTCGTTACTGTCTTTTTGAAATCGGATAATATACAATCTATTATTCTTTTAGTTTTGGTAACTCGAGATCGACCGCCAATATCTTCTTTTATGAGCATTTCTATTCCATGTTCACCGAATTTTGAAAAAGTTTCTCCTAATGTCTTTAAACTACTGTTCGCTGCACTTATTTTCCCAAGAATTTGAGGACTCACATACTCATCTAAAACTTTCAATTCAACTTTTCTGATTTTCATCTCAGCAGTCTGTTTTTTTTTTTCATAAATTGATCGACTCCTATAGCTTGACTTATTACTGTATCAGAAGTTACTTTTATAGTTTTCATTAAATTATATAAAACTTTCACATCATATTGTGCATTATGAGCACTTTGTGCATCAATTAAACCCAAATAGTCGGCAGCAAGAATAGTCTGATTAAATTTTTTCTTTTCTTTTTTTCTTCCAGGAAGTTCATTTTTGAATATTATCAAAGAGTCAGCAAATCCAAGGACAACTTTTTCGAAGCGCTCCACTAACGCGTAGATGTTCATTTGACGTAGAATAAGATGCATATCGTAACTGTACAAACAAAATTGAAATTGAGATATTTAGAAGAACAATTTGGTTCATAGACTGCTATATTGATTCAGTTATACACTTACTTAAAACCATTATGAGCTATAAAGATGATTTGTTTTTGGAAGCTTTCCAAATATTGTAGAAATAGAATAAATGCTTCTTTTGCTGGTTTCGAATCCAATTTTCCATTCCTTAAAAACAATTCATTTTCGAAAACAACTAATCCAGTGATGTCAGAAGCTCTTTTTGATATTTTTTTTGTTGGCATAACATAGATATTGAACTGGGCATTGTCATGAAATGCTGCTATCTAAATAAAAACGAAACAAACAAAGTTCTAATACCATGGTATGTAATTATTCTACATTTAACTTATATACACTCGATTTTTACACTATGCCTGACATATGTCAGCTGTATTTGGTGATCTGTCTGTAGCTTCTAAATCAAAAATAATAATTTCAGAGTTTTGATAATCATGCGGAGTATCTGTAACAAAAATGTAACATACATCTCTTATTGTTGTACAAAGAAAAATATAACATTAAGCATACCTGAACATACGTCGTCTACAACTAATTCAGCTACACAGTCCATTGCACAATTAGTTTCATAACATATACCTTCTTTTTAAGCAAATCGTGCATCATTAGCAACCCGTTTTTTCTTATTAAACAGCCTACGTCTTTTAAATGCCACTGTCTTCATTTCTTCTGATTTAGCTTTTCGCTTTCTATCTTTTGCTTCACGGTATCGTTTTGTTTCAGTTTCAGGAGAATAATTCCATTTATTATAGACGTCTATGACGTATTGTGTACCAACACAATTTTGGCCAGCTGCTGCTAGAACCCTCAAATGTAATGATGATGATGCTGCATAATGTCGAGATTTGGCATTTTTTGAACTCATACAGTTATTAAATGACTCGTTAATTTGAGTCGAGCCACACGGAGCAAGTTTTTCAGCAACGTTTGCATATCTTACGAAAAGTTGTGCTAAAAAAACTCGCAATTCTACATCTGCGAGAGGTTTCTTGTTTAGAATACTTAAATGCGCATAATTTCCTTTAATATTACGATAAGGACATTCGTCATCACATTTGCCGTGTTCACCATAGGCATGGTTTACAACATTTAGCGACGCTGCTCGAACATTTTCACTATTATCTTTATTTCTTTTAATCGCTGTTGAAAAACGTTGACTGAAGTAAGTTATCAGAGATCGAAGAACTTTCATTGAATATAGAGCACTTGTAAATCCTTTTGTAGCATGATTTAAATCAGACCACTTTCCAATAACATAGTTGGAGTTTCTCTTGACAGCAGCTAGTGTAGATGAATCGTCATCGCCAATTAGGACAGAAACATATGCATTTTGTTCCTGAAGTAAACGATTATGGACTATTAACTGAATTGCCATATCTGGTTCCATAGCTTTTGCACTACCAGCCCAATTTCGTTTACAATAATGATCCGACAGTGGATGATCATGCTCACAAAAAGAACATCTGCTAGTGTTAATTGCAACACCCATTAATTTTTTGGAATAATGTCCATACATTGACGAATGAGCTGTAAATATTGACAATATTAAATAAAAAATATCAGTGCTCTGCAGTGGTCTGGGTGCGACCCGAAAGGTCCACACGACCAACTTCCCAGTCGAAAAAATAAAAAAACAATTTGAATAGAACCCGTTTCCATTCTTTATAACAAATGGAATTGTTATAAATGAAATGAGTCTGTTTTTATTCATTTGATATGGTTAGTTACTTCATTTCAGTAAAAGAAAAAATTTTGCGTTAGAAGAATTCGAATGTACCTCATAGATCCTTTTTTTCATTATTTACAACCAATTTCATTGTTATACACGAAAAAAGTATGTTTTCATGTATGGCATACGGTTGGTAACATTTTTTTAGTAAACGAAAAGATTATGCGTTAAAAGTACTCATATATATAGAAAGGGTCCCTATTTTTATTGTTTATAACAATTAAAAAATTTTTTATTCAAATATTATTATGATCGATAATCATTTGTTATTAACAATATTCAATCGTTATGAACACAATTTCTTATTATTAACAATAATCATTGACTATTTTATTATCCTCAACGCTATTTTCTCCATCCCAACACAAGTTTTAAATTTTTTTATTGCTGATTTCGTTTTTTAAAAATTTTTTTTTCTATGAAATACTGTCATCATATTTCTGTACAATTATTCTAAACATTTGATATTCATATTTTTCAAAAGATCTCGAAATTCCGTCTAAAAAATGGTATAATTTATAAATTGCAGAATTTAGGTAGTTCACTATTTTTTCAGTTTTTTTATTCTACATAAAAAATGGTTGGACCGATTTTGCTAAAAATCTAATCAGTTCTAAGTTACGTAATTACGCGTCGAATGCAGTTGGTCCCACGTCGATATCATTTTTTGTTCTCGAGATAATCGAGGCGAAAAATAATTCCGAACGCACATATGCACACACAGACGTCCACGTAAAAACTATCGTATTCAACTCTGGGGACCTTAAAACGTGGATATATGTCAAAATTAGCGATTCGCAAAATCGGACCCATTACTATAACTTCCTACTGGGAAGTTAAATATTATGATTTAAGTAGCAGTTCAAGAAATGTACCTGATAAACTATTGTATGATCGTCCTGTTCCTCGTTTATGGAAAGCTGCATCTAATGAAACTTTTAAAGGATACATAGCTTGAGGCATAGAAGCATCAATATTGTTAGGTCAATCGATAGATGAAGTATTTTGTGAAGTAGAAATAGATAGATCAGTGCAAGAAGCAGGTGGAGAAGTAGTGGAAGCAAGATTGCTATGATAAAAGATAGAAAGGGAAGAGAAAAGCGTTAAATTATGTTAGATATAACAGAAATTAACTACATCTAAAAAATATTACGTGAAATTTAATTTTTAAATAACTTGGGCAGCAGTTGGAGTCCAGTTGACTGCAAGTGTAGCAAGAAACCTAAAAAAAAGAGATATGTGCGACGATAAAGAACTGATGAGTCCCAAGAAGTCATAAATGTATCCTAATGCATCTTCATAAACGATGGTTTGCCTGTGAAAGCTAAAAAATGTAAAGTATTATGTAGAAATGGTATTTCTATAATTTCAAAAACATTTAGAGAAAAACATTCATATTAGTCCTCATCAAGCGATCACATCAAAAATCATAATACAAAAGTATACAAAAGTTATGTTGATCTTGTAAGATAAAATACATGCATCACGTAGTACCATATACAAAAAGACGAAAACATACCTAGAGCAAAGTTGAGAATTTGCAGCTTTTGACATCTCTATCTCAAGATTGATATGTTTTCTAAAATAATCTAAAATAATCATCAGTTGCTGATTTCATCAGAACGCTTTCAGTAAAGTACGTTCATGACGTTTTAACAGTCCAGAAGAAATCGGTGAAATATTCAATGCTGTAAGAAACGAATTAACATGTGTTTCTTCTATTCCAGCCCAACTGAACCTATAATATTTAAAGTTAATATTTTTCCTAAAAATTCACGTCAAACTACATGGCTGTGAATAATGTATTGAATAATAACCCTCACCTAATGCTAATTTACCATTTATGTCATATTTTTTATTGCCAAATTCATCCATTTTATATTTATTTGTTATGACATTATAGTAAATTTTGCACTTCCAGCACTCCACAATTAAATGACTGCCTAATCCTGCTCTTCTTTCTTCTATCACATGACGCAAAGATGGTACATTACACGAAATACACCAAAGATCATCGGCAAGATCATCTAATTCAACGATACGACGTTCATTGAATTTTAAATAAATGACTTTTTTTGCAGTTTCTTCTTCATTACATTCGTAATCTATCAATTTTAACTGACAATTCAATTGATCATTGACACCACTTACAATATAATTTACTACTTCACTACTATTCTCATTACATTGGACATCTTCTGAGTCGGCAAATTTCGTTTTGCTTACACTTGAAATATATTATCACGCCATTTTTTTTTTCTTTTATAAATAAATTGACCTTTTTTCGGCCATGAGACGCATGAATTGAATGTATTGTAATATATGTAATGCTTTGTAAAAAAAGAAACACGAAAGCTTACATCTGATACTCGCCGAATATTTAGGTTATTCCAACATGTGTTTCGAAGTAATGTATGTAGATCTGAGCAACGTTGCCACATTTTAAGGCTGGGCTTAAAGTCAGAAAGTTTCCCGGAGTTGACTTAACGCCCTCGCGTTGTGCGGCTAAAGGCCGAAGCTCGATATCAATTGAAATTGAGTAGGTAACAGGGAAATCGTTCGAAAAATAATAATTTTCAGGGATGCACTACAAAAAGGGAGCCTTAGGGCACCAAGAAATTCACAAATTTCAGAATAATCTGTTCCGAGCAAGACAGAGCAGAGAATGTATATATCTATCTCCGTCTTATTTTTTAGAGAAGATTGCGAGTTTGAACAGTTGACGAGCAAGCACATTATATACCCCACCCTCTGTTACCAAGCCGGAAGCTTATGATATCTAAACGTAAACAAAGCAAATGAAAATATGCTCGCTCTGTAGTCAGAAGGTTCGACAGTGATTTTACCGAACGGTGTTCGATTTAAATGGCGGCAAGATTTTTTTTTTATTTAAATTGCATGTAATTGCAATTTTATCATGCCAAAAATGAGTTTTAAATTTCAATTTTTATGTGAAAATCGATGACAAATGAAAAAATATTTAAACAGGGCCATTTTTTGTACAAATACATTGATAATAGCATTTTTAACAACTTATTAACAATAAAAAATAGTTTAAACAATCCGCGGCGAGTTCCGGCACTTGGCGGGCAAGCTTTACCTTCACTCTCTGTGCACAAGCCAGCAGCTTATAATTTACAAGCATAAATAGCTAGATTATAAACATGTTAGCTCTGCGGTCAGAGCGCTGGAATTCTATTTTGCCGGCCAGGGTTCGATCCCAGTCTAGTCCCTTACTAACGATTTGATTTTTTTTTTTCCAATTTATTCATTTAATTATTGGACGCCAAGTCGGAAAACCTTTAAAAAGGGTTATAAACATTTTTTTAAATACAGTTCTATGAGCGTAGATTTTTTTTAAACAATTTGAAAATATTCAGAAGTAGTTGAAACAGTCCGCGGGGAGTTCCGGCACTTCGCTGGCAAGCTCTATCCCCACCCTTCATACTCAAGCCTGCATTATATAACTTATATAAACATAAGCATAATGTCGGAGATAATGTGTTAGCTGTGTGGTTAGAACACCAGGCTTTCATTTTACCGATTAGAGTTCGTTCCCAGTCAGAGCCAATTTTTTTTCATGAGGATTTTACGTAAATGCAATAATTGGTTGTTTATATTAGTTCAAAATTAATTCCTATAGTTTTTTAGAGACAACATTTTCTAAAAAAGAGAATTCATAGTAGCTCGTTCCTCACCCTCAGCTTATTTTCAGAAAAACAAGTTTTTTTCCGTAATTAATTGGAAGAATATTTTAATAAAATATATAAATATATAAAGTTACTTAAACGAAAAAAAGGAAAAAAAAAATTTGCCATGACTAGGATCGAACCCTATCTGGCAAAATAGAAGTCCAATACTCTGACCACAGAGCTATCAGGATAACAATTCTATTATTTATGCTTGTAAATGGCTTAGTTTACACCCAGCGTTCCGATCCCGTTTCATTCCGGAATGGAATGAATCGAGTCACCGTTTATACTTGAATTATTCCGTTCGGAATGGAATGGAGATTGAAGTAAAGAAACAGGATAACCGACTTTGTAAATTTATGCTTCAAAACTCAAAGTATATACCCATAACCTACAATTAGTTAAATTACATGTGACTTAAAGTAATTCATGGATTTGAATATTAATACACCCCGATAATTCAATTTTTTTTCAAAAGACTTAAAAACGTCGTCAACTCGACTTTGTTTGGAATCCATAAGATCTGCTATTTGCTCTTCTTTAAATAATTCTAACAACTTATCTACTTCATTTGGCAACCAAATATCTCTACTTTTACTCATTATATATTTGATATATTGTACTTATTGTTAATAATCAATAAACATTACAAGTAATTGTTTAAAAATAAACTTGAAAAAACATAACCTTACAAATGCTCTATGCTAATCTAACTTATGCTACATTACTGATTGGCAATACTGAATTCATTCCTGAATAACGCGTTTACATCAGCTTATTCCGGTCCTAAATCATTCCATTCCATCTAAAAATAGAGGAATGAAATGAAATGATTCCGGTCGTGATTATACCCGTTTACATTAGACAAATCTTAGTTCATTCCGGAATGAAACGGGTTCGGAACACTGGGTGTAAACTAAGCCAATTATGAGCTGCAGGCTTGGGCACAAAGAGTGGGGGTAGACCTTGCCGGTGAAGTGCCGGAACTCTCCGCAAATTGTTTAAATTGCTGCTAAATATTTTTAAATTATTTTTGAAAAAAAACTACATTTATATAACTGTACTAAAAAAGGGTTTAGGCCCTGTTCGAATGTCTTCTCCCTCAGCGTTCATTAATTAAAAGAATTATAAAAAAAAAAAACTTAAATTCTTATAAAAAATTTATTTTGGCTTATTAAAATTATAATTACATTCAATTCTACTAAAAAAAAAAGAAAAAAATTGGTCGAGATCGTGATTGAACCCTGCTCGGTAAAATAGAAGCATGGTGCTTTAACCACAAAGCCAGCATATTTCCAATAAAAATTCCATGGCCCGTATTCTCAGTCGGTTCTTATGTCTAAGTTCGCCTTAAGGACATGCTTAAGGTGACGTTTCGATTCACAATCGTAACTTAAGTATTATCTTAAGTACAGCCTCAAGTATGAACTTAATCAAGCAAGGCTCATTCAAATAGTATTCATAATTAATTCTTAAGCAAATCTTTATCAGTTATGTATTCATAGTCGTATAAGACTTCCTTATTAATCCCAATAAGACCTTACTGGTGTCAAAGTGAGGTTATATTTTCAAGTCGTCTCTAAAGGTGACTTAAGAACTTTCAGGCATATTATTATAGTGAAGATTTTTTGAAATTGTAAAAAAGATGAATTTGTCTACTTCGGATTCTAGTGGTATTGAAAGTATTAGTGATGTTGATACTGATGAAGACCATAATGAGAGACATATTCGTAGGTCTTTGCGTGACCGACAAAATCCTTTTGAAAACAGAATACTTTTTAAGTGAATAAATGACCAGAAAAAAATATTTAACAGTCCACTAATGTTATAGAAGTCACTTTAAAAATTAGTTATGTGTGTATTATTTAAAACTGAATAAAATAATTCATGTACATAAAAAAAAACACGCGTAAATATACTTGCAATTACACTCACGTCTATTAATCTAATATTGTAAAGTTCTAAAATTAACACCATCTTTAATAGAATGTAAAACTTATGTTCAATGATTTCATGCCATGAATTATTGGAATAAAATATATATTAAAGCAAAATAGAAAATTATTTTATATTTTTTCAAACATCAAATTCTTCCTCATTCAATGAAAAATAATTATTAAAAATATTTTAGCAAAATACACCGCACTCAATTTTTTCAAATTCTTATTTATTCTGTAATCATATACAAGATATGTTTCTCAGTCTTGAAACCTATTTACCTTATCTATAATACTATTATCTTTTGTCATAGTTTATACAGATAGAAAACTACTTTTTTTCTACAAAATAAAAAAAGAAAACATATAAAGAAACTTAAAGTATTCAATCACATGAAAAATGAACAAAAAAAGAAATAACAAATTAATGGATATTTTTATTAATATCATCCTTTGTTTTATTAATATCATCACTTTGTTCTATTAAAAATTCTTCAAGACATACATCATCTAAAACAGCATTTCGTCGCCCTACAAAAATACAATAAATTATGTTACATTATCTACAATATTGTAGATATATATTAATCTATAAACTTTAACAAACTTACTTTCAATTTTATCTCTTGGTATATTTGATGAAAATAGTGTTGGAGCACTTGTCATTAGATTGGGCACAATATTTTCAATTTCCGGGTCAACATCAACCGTTGGAATTGGGGAACCACCACCTGTAGCCATACGAGCTTGTCTTTCCTTGGTCAAAGCATCTCTTTGATCTGACTTCAAATTGCTCCACCATTTTTTCAGTTGTTTGACAGTTCTCTAAAATGGTTAGATAGATAGAATGTTATTTTATTTCATGATTTAAATCTTGAATAGTAATAGTAATTACGAATACTTATTATCAAATTCTCACCTGAGTTGAAATAACTGATGAAGAATTATGTTCTTCATGAATTTCTCTCCAAGCTTCATCCTTATCTTTTAAAGTGGCACTGTCACTTTTTTTATTTTCAATGACATGTTTAAACTTTTTCAATATGTTTAAAAAAAAAAAGTTTTTCAACATCGTTATAATGTTTTTTTGCACTAGGCATTATAATAAAAAATCTTCTTATGTATTTTTTTATTAGAAACTGATGAAACTTGACGATGTATTTTTTCTCCAACGGGTATTGACATGAACGTAAATTGTACCTTATTTTTAAAATCATTTCTGATTGGCTCATTGAACGTAAAAAATACGGAACTAACCGAAGATAATATAAGAAATGCTCAAGCATTTCCTTCATTAAGAAATTCTCGAGCACCAATTACTCAAAAAAGTCCATCTCAAGTCATAATTGTGAATAAATAGTATCTTAAGTAGAATTCATTCCAATAAGGCACACTTATTCAAGAAATTCTTAAGTCCATTCTCAAGCCACGACTAATAAGAATTCCGGCCCATGTTTATTTATCTTAACTACATGCTTCGATCCGTAGACTTGGAATTGAGCTCGCTTGTTGAAATTCATACCTAGTAGAAATAATAATAATGGATGAATATGTGTATTTTAAGTTATTTTCAGGTATTCCATTAATTAATGTTCAATGTGTATCATCATATTCATTTATAATACTGCAATAGTCATCAAAGTGTAGGGCATGTAGTGTGACACACTACATTTACATCACGATATGTATTGTACATACACAGATACAAATTACTCACCAAAATGCAGGGCACCATCAGTTCTGGATACGGATTGAGCATTTTTTCAATATGAATGACTGAGGTCATCTGCGAGCATAATGCTGTCACCTATCAGAATTTTTTCAAACTAATTTTCCGGAGAATATCATCTGGAATACAATATTTCTAATTATTTCTAAATTATTCAATTTTATACTATGAATTGATTTTTTTGACATTCAGACAGGTGGCAAGGACTGACGCAAACACGAATTTTGGGCGAAAAACGTATAAAAATGGAATAATTAGTGATTTTTCATCTGAATGATGTAGCCGTAATCTTGGAATTTAAGCGTGGCAAGTCAATTCATAATTTTTTCATTATTCTTTCTAATTTTTTTAATAAAAATATTCACTATATACAAAAAATTGTTGTTTACGTCAGTCCGGCATTAATTCCTCTGTAATTTGGTACCTAATTTTATAGAAATAATCGTAAATTGGCAAAAAAATTAGAAATATCCCGATCCCATGTATTTGGATAGGGGGAATCAGTCGCCTTCCTGACTTCAGCCCAGCCTTAAGGGTTATAAACACTTTTTTTACTATAGCTATATGAACGTAGTTTTTTTTAAGCAATTTAGAAATATTTAGAAGTAGTTGAAATAATCCACGGGGATTTCCGGCACTTCGCCGGCAAACTCTATCCCTACCCTTCGTACTCAAGCCTGCATTATACAATTTATAAACATAAACATAGTGTCAGAGATGATGTGTTAGCTCTGTGAGTAGAACACCAAGCTTTCATTGTACCGATTAGGGTTCGATCCCAGTCATAGCCAATTTTTTTTTTCCTTTTTTTTTCATTAAAATTCTATATAAATACAATAGTTGGTTGTTTATATAAGTTCAGAATCAATTTCTATTGTCTTTCAAAGACAACACTTTCGGAAAAAGAGAATTCATAGTAACTCGTTCCTCACCCTCAGCTTATTTTCAGAAAAACAAGTTGTTTTCCGTAATTAATTGAAAGAATAATTTAATCAAATATATGAATTAATTTATAAGTATATAAAGTCACTTAAGCAAAAAAAAGAAAAAACAATTTGCCTATGACTGGGATCGAACCCTGCCCAGCAAAATAAAAGATTGGTGTTCTGACCACTGAGCTATTATGGTTTCAATAATATTAACGATGCTTGAAAATTATAAGCTGCAGGCTTGGGCACAGAGAGTGGGGGTAGAGCTTGCCGGTGAAGTGTCGGAACTCGCCGCGGATTGTTTCAACTATTTTTTATTGTTAATAAGTTGTTAAAAAAAGCTATTATCAATGTATTTGTACAAAAAAAGAGTTTATGGCTCTGTTCAAATATTTCCTCATTTGTCATCGATTAATTGAAAAATAATTTTACATAAAAATTGAAATTTAAAACTCATTTTTGGAATGATAAAACTGCAATTACATGCAATTTAAATAAAAAAAAATTTTTGCCGCAATTGGAATCGAACAACGTTCGGTAAAATAACTGTCGAACCTTCTGACTATAGAGCTAGAGTAGAACCAAGAAAAGAGTAGTTTGGTCGAAAAACTCGGCTTTTCCCCCACTTAAGAAAATTTGAGTGTCATCAGCATTTTGGCTATTTTCACGGCACCATAATAAATAATCCGCCGAAAAAAAATAGTCCCTCATTTATTTTTACTGATTATTTATATATTATTAGAAAATACAAAAATGTATAAAACTTTCATAATAAATCAAAAATATTGTTAATAAATAAAATTATGTTCAAAAGCCAATATTAAGTGATATTCATAAGGCTAAAATTGGACCTAAACATCAAGAAGTAATCATATTTGTTCGTGACGAGGTATTGCTGGTAAGATTGTAAATATGTAAATTTAAAACTAGATTTTTACGAGCAAGTTATATGGCTCCTTGTACAGAAATAAGACTTATGTATCTGCTAAATATGTTCCTGGAGACAAATTATCAGCATTAGTTTTTTAGTCACTTCAAAAATATTATTATAAAAAACCTTTACTTTGTAAAAAGAATCCTCATCTTCCAATAATCTTGAAGTTAATGAATGTATTAAAAGCATGAATTTTAAGAGATTTTGAAAAAAGCGATGGTATTAAAATACCATATAAAAATTGTCTTTTAAGGAAAGTTAGAGAGGATGAACCATAGACAGTGTTGCATGATCACCAGAAAATTAGAAGAATGTGGTATCGAACGGTATGATGAATTAATTATTGAAGCAAATGAAACTTGCTGAAACTGCAGATCTGAGACAAAATTTTAAAAAAATATACCTGAAAAATTTGACTTAGTTATTAATATAAGTATCATTACATAAAATAATTTATGCTTTTTTTAGATTACTAGTATAGCGAATACTCCAATATAAGAAATAGAAGTGAAAAAAGGCGCATAAGGAACAAATATACGGGCTGATCATGATCCAACAGAAAAATGGGTTCCAGCAGCAGATGATGTTTGGCCAATAGCATTTGAAGATGGTGTTGTCATCATATATAGGTTTGCATTTTTTTTGTATAATCATATATAGTCATAATTCTTTAAGATTGCTGTTTCATTGAAATAAATGAAATCAATTTTTTTTTCAACAGACCTGAAGATAACTCTTCAATCCTGAAAAAAAAGAAAATATAAGCTTTCAAATTCTCTTGATATGTCAAATCATCTTCGAGAGATGGAAATGAATCGAGCTTCTATACCAGATCCTACACTTCGAGCTCCAATATTGGACCATACACATCGAGTTCCAGCATCAGAAAATCGACATAGAGAACGAGCACTTAAAATTTATGTGAACAATAAACGATCTAACAATAAAACGTATGACAATCAGCTAGTGGATAGCTGATGATATTCTCGATAGTAATATTATTAAAATGAACGGGACAAATATAATGAACAAAAAATACAGATATTTTTAGTGTCTGATCCAAGATTAAAACTGTGAGCACAAGTTCACATCTATATTTATCGATTTATCTTTAAAATGTGTATAAATGTTAATAAAAAAAAATTTTAGTTCTACGTAGTTTCTCCACTCATTTTTATATATACTTCAAATTATATACTAAACGTTTTTAAATAATTCATAGTAGTAAAAACACTATGATTAATCATTGAAAATTAAATCATTATATTATTTTAAAATATTCTTATCTTGCATTTACTTTGCAATTATGCTAATAATCGTCATTTTTATCAATCAATTAAGCTTACATTACTGGTTACGAATAACAAAAAATATCGAATAATTTAATTTTATGATAAAAATAATAAAAAGTAAAAAAAATGTTTTTAAGGACTTTAGTCAAAATAGTTCTAATATTCATCCAGGTGTTAATGTCGTTCAAGAAAGAAGAACACAAATTAATAAATATCCTCGATATAGTAACAAAAATAAAATAGCTACAGATAAGCTGGTAGGCCAAACATAGTGGTAGGGCATTTAATGAACGATCATTTAGTTTTATTTAATCGTCAACTTCACAAATAAAATATCGTGACTCACATAGCCAAAGTCTTAGAACATAGAATATTCTGATGTAATAAATGCGTTTGTACACCTTTCAATGCAGACTTCGATGGCGACTAGATAAATTTACATTCATCACAAACAAAAAAAGCTTCATCTGAAGCTCTTGTTCGAATGAAAAATTAATTGAATCTGTCAATTCCTCAAAATGGAGAATTCCGAATAGCTGCAACATAAGATTTTATAACGAGGGGTCATCTACTTATTAAAAAACATACTTTCGTAAAGAAGACACAAGCTTGTCAAATAGCTTCTTGTTTATTAGCTGGATCTGATGCAAACATGGCAATAGATATCTTAACACTACCAATTAAAAAAACTGTGTAACTTATGGACTGGTCATCAAATTTTCAGTCTTTTTTTACGTCCAAATTTGTCTTATAAAATATTATTGAATTTAAAAACTAGAAGAACAGCATATGCTCATGCCAAAGAGCTTTTTATAAAATCTTATATCGTAATCATAAGATATCCTCCTTTATTATCCGGAAGGGTAGATAAATCTACTTTTAGTTCTGGATAAAAACAAAATATTTTGTACATTGTTCTGTGCGACTAATAATTAATTATACATTATTTCCATGAACTTTGAGTTTTATATTCATATGAATTTATGTAGAACATAGATGGTTCATTTCGAATTAGCGCCCTTAAAAGCCCGCCTTTTCAGAAGACAACGTGACAGATTGTTCTCCTTCTCTCTCTAACCTTTGTGTTCCTTCTCAAAATCTACGGACCTTTCATATTTTTCGTGGGTCATATTTGTCGCAAGTTGTACCGGCCGATGGTAAAAAATAGCTAGAAAAATAAACACAAGATGTCAGCCATTACTTATTTCGTTGTTGATGAGTGTTTATGAAAGTGCAAATTTTAAAATGCGATATATTAAAGTGGATTCAACCCCGAAAAAACATCGAGAACGTTATCAGTGGTATAAAGATCTCAAAGATAAGCGAGGTCGTTCTTTTAATAGGCAGACTCAAGCTTTAATATGCCATACATATGAATTCTGTCAAGAAGAGGCTAAAGAAAACGCTCCCATTGTTCCTTTCTGTGATGTTAAGTAAGCTTTTTGTTTACATATTTTCTCATTTACACTTAATCAAGTATGATAAGAAGAAATATTTTTTTACAGAGGCCGAACAGCCGCTATC